TGTGTGTGTGTGTGTGTGTGTGTGTGTGTGTGTGTGTGTGTATGTATACTGTAAATGTCTCATGAAGAAACACATCACAGATACTGTGGTCACTTGGTAACCCATTGAGTATGAGAGCAAAAAGAAACTGAAAAACGTTGCAAGAGGCAATAAAACCTTTGCTCCTTCTGATGATAAATTAATTACACAGATATAGGGATGGGTACCGAATTCGATATTTTTTAAAGTACTGACCGAATTCTGTCAGTACTACCGAGAACCTAACATCTAACGATATCATGTTTCGGTACCTAAACGCATCATTGCGACCGTATTGGTGTAAGAGTGGGTGATTTTCCATGCTGGAGTGAAACTCACCGAACAGACTGCCTCTGAATTATCTGGTGGATTAATTATCTTGTGAACACGATGTTCACTTGCTCAAAGTAAATAAAGTACCACCACTTTGTTTATTTCATCCACCATTAAACAGAGACCGTCAGAGGAAAACAACAGAGGTGCTTCCCGACAGTCTGAACGTGTCTGACCTGAAAGAGCACAAGCAGCTAACTTTAGCGTTGGGCTCGTTTTGGATGCTCAAAACGTAGCTTGAATACCTTKTATTTATTTTAACTCMATCCTCTTTTTTTATTTGATTTAAACTTATTTGCCTTCCATGGACCTCCATCACACATTTTTCTAGCGGGGAAATGACAACAATAGAAATATGTGGAGCTGGATTTTAATTTGTGCAATAAGACAAAACAGTCTTGTTGTTTTCAAGAGTTTCACCTTAATGAAATTAGTAAAAAAAAAACTGATGTTATACAAAGAGTTGGATGTTGTCTTGATTTTGTTAAATTTTATATATTGAGAAGTATGCTAAATTTAAAAAAAGTTGATTATTAAATAAACAACACACACAAGGTACAGAAAATTGGTACGGTTAAGTACCGGTACTGATTCCCAGGTACCGGATATTGGTACCAAATCGATTCAAATGTCAAAGGTACCCATCCTTACACATATAGCAAGAAATGGCAACCTATTTATTTTTATTTATTTATTTTATTTGCTGTTATCTTGACATTCGTAGTTAGTAAAAATTAGGSACATAACATAGACCAAGACTTGAGCAGAACCAAGAAGTTAAAACAAGAACAGGTCCAAACATCCCTGCAGGTTGGTTCCAGTACAACTCTTAAATCTTGTCTCATTGACATAAATTACCATAAACATTGGTCTTGGTAGAACAAAACAAAACAAAAAAATACCTCAGATAACTGCTTTTAAGTTGTTTACTTTTGTTAACTCAGTGTTCCCCAACCCTGGTCCTCAAGGCACAYTACCCTGCATGTTTTAGAAATCCCCCTGCTCTTACACACCTGATTGAGATGATTGCAAAAGCTTGTTAATCAGTAATCAATTGAAATCAGCTGTGTTGAAGCAGGGAAACATCTGAAACATGCAGAAGGACAGWATGCCTTGAGGACCAGGGTTGAAAAACACTGAGTTAWGTCATGTAATAGTYAACYATTATGTATTCAAATAATAATTTTAACACATTAGTTAAAAGGTCATGTRGCGCTATGTTTGTGTGGGAGTAGGCGGGTCTTAAAGCCCCATATGTCTGGTGCACAGACTCTGGTTCCAAAAATACACCATTACCATAACCCTGGTCCTGCTGGCTTCAGTTCCCAACAACATGAGAAGTCAGAGACATTTGGTCTTTAATTCAAACATTCTCGCACCAAACTCCTCTTGTAAGATTCTCATCAAAAGCAATCAACGCATTTATTACAGCAACATATTATGATTCCACTGAAACATTATGTTAAAACATATGAGTAAAGTTACTAATGTAAAAAAWATATATTAATTCTACGCAGCTTTGCTGGAGGTTTTCTTATAAAATCCAGATTTTGTGACCATGGGTTGACTGACCGTGGCGGGGCCAGACAAATAGATGTTAACGCTGTCTCTTTTTYTCTTGCTCCGTCTGTGAGGCAGATYGGAGAATGCAGCATTCCAACTGCTCCCTACGCAGACATTTCCTCAGATCAAAGGCAGCTTTCACCACTGCGTCTTAATCAGAGGGAAACGTTAGACCGAGCTCACCGCTGGCCAGAGSAAGACAAGCAAAGCTGCTCCGCAGTTCTTCTCTGCTCGGATGGCTTGGAGCTGAAACTGAATACAGCAATGCACAGGATGGAATCAAGATCCATCTGCAAGTCCTTCATAGTTTAAAA